CCGCGGATCGATCTCCTGTCGCCCTTTGAAATCCACCCTCAAGGACTTGGTGCCGCTTCGAATCAGCTGCTGAACCCAATCCGGAGCTCCTCGCTGCATAACTTCAGTCATTATCGAATAGTAATTGAAAGATGTTGATTTAACTCACCAAGCCAGCAAAATAACGAAAGATTCCTGGAAGGTAAACTGTCTGGCTCAATCCACTGTCGAGTATATCCACAATGGCATCTACAACCGTGTCGACATGAAGAAGAGGCATCAGGAATCTGGACTGGTTTGTCTCGCCTTTGAATAGTGGCGTTTTGGTGAAGCTTAGCACAGCAAGCGATGTGCGGACCTTCGGTGCATTCTGGACTCGAAGCTCTTGGGCAAGACACTAACTCAAATAAGTATACCGTAGACTCAGAACACAAGTTGAAAACAGTGGACTAATATATCTACCTCATGGAATGCAATTAACCCAGCTTTTGATGCCGCGTAATCAGCAAGCCCGGGAGGCGGGATATAAGCGCTCATCGAGGCCACATTGAAAATATGCCCATGGTTTCGTCGGATCATAGCGGGTAAAAACTCCTTCGACAGGAAAAATGGTGCCAGTAGGTTAGTTTTTAGGGTTATGCTGTTGTCGCTGTAGGTACCCTCGACTACTGTACGCCCGCGTGACAGACCAGCATTGTTCACTGTTACCAGATTGTCAGCCAAGTAGGCAATTGCTGATGAGGATCGCTGCTTAACTTCACTTACCTAGCACAGATGGATCACCAATTTCCGCTCTGATCTTTTGGCAAACACTTGCGATCTCTTTCTCATCACTCAAGTCGCATTTGTGATACAGGATGCGTTTGTTCTCTGCGTTGGTGTTTATCAAAAAGGTGCTCATGGAAATAACGGCTGCAAACGAAAGGTAACTCAAGAGTACAAACCAAGGTTGTAGGTCAATGGGATGATGTCCAACACAACAACGCGTGCGCCCAGTGCAGCCAGACGCTGAGCGACCCCCGCTCCAATACCACCGCTTCCCCCCGTAACCACGACCAGCTCCTTGTTCCAGTCCCAAGTATGATCCGTAACCCAATTGTTCAAGCTCTTGGAAGTTAACCAATCGTTAAGCCACAAGAGGACACTAGTTGTTGCGGTAATGCGGATCAGTTGTTCGTATGGGACAAGAAAAGCGATTTTTGGCGCCAGGAATTGCAACAGCAATGTGGTAAACGGATGAAAGATTGTTTTCCGTAACCCTACTATTATCGGATCGATGTAGAGACCTTCGCGGGGAAGGAAGCCGGTTTTAGCCATTGTCATACGCTTCTTCGAGGGTGAAAAAGAAACAGAACTAACACTGACGGCTGAATCTTATATTTCACATGTAGACCTATATAGACTTATTAGGCATGGGGTTGGGGAAGTACTAACTAGGTAGACTATCTTTCTTACCCCGCGTGTCCGGGAAGCCTCCAGGTTCGTAACTGTTCCGGAATGGACCCGAATGGGATCCATCTTCCTGGCGATTGCCCGTGCCCCACAATGAACCGAGGCATCCGAATGGAATTATCAAACTAAGAGACAGAGCGATAGGTGTGATGCGGACGCGTGCAGACAAACGTCATCATTGCGACCCCCTGTCATATGAAGCTTCGGAACGGTGCCGGAGATCTATCGAAGCCCGGAGCATCTCGACAGTATATAACATAGCCGCCTTCCCAACTGCTCAATGCGACGGAACTGTTATTACATTTCCCCAGCCGATGGTAAAACAGCATACGTAAAATGTATAAACTTCATAACATGCGCTCTCACGGTACGAGGATGCTGCGCAGGTCTTCCGAAGACTCTCCTATTCTCAAGCAAGTGGATCAGGGGAAATACTCACGGTTGACGCGGAACCCTCCACATTATCAGTGTCAATGAGAGCAAGGAGGACCTTCCATACGGCACCTCGTCCAATTTCCCTCTTTGTGGTACAACTCTGGCAGTCTTCTGGGTACTGAATTCCCACTTTGTAGAAACATCGAGGCGCCAAAGACTATAACAAAGGAATATAGATGATATATCAAGTTGATGAACTCATAAGAAACATTCTTTAATATTACGCTGATATATACTGGGAAACAGAAACTATTGCCGTGGACAGACACAATATAATGAACAGCTCAGTGGACACCAAAACCAGGCAAACTGCATCAACACCTTCGATAAATCAATCACTGCCCCCTTCTTCTCACATCATTCCTGCGTGGTTACTTGGCCAATATAATGGATTGTACACTGGCCAAGTAGGTTTCGACAATTTCTGGAGACAGGTTTCCAAAGTAACCAAGCCGAGCTACCCCAAAGATCCCAATACAAAGTGCAAGGAATAAAGCCTTAGAGAATCTTCGTCCCGATGGCTTTATAGTCTTCTGCTGACAGTTAATGATATGATACTTGTTTGTTCAATCAAATTAAATCGAAGAGAAGAGCAAGGAAAGAAAAAAAAAAAAAAAAAAGAAAACGACCCCAACCTACCTTAATATGCCAATCGGACCATGTGGGAAACAGACTCCTCCACCAATAGTGACCTTGGGTCCACGGATAAGACATGGAGTTCCATCTCTTGTCATTGAGGTACCACTGCAACTTTAATTAGATGGTTAAGAAGTCAACTGAAATGCATATCCCACTTACTGATACGCAGCCCGCGTTCCAAACGCGTTTATTCAATGCGTCTTGCACCCAGTAGACGTAGTCATGCTCGGCCTTGGGCTTTAGCTCTACTGATGAGGCATCACCGTCCAGAACGGGCTTTAGAACGCGAAGAGCGTAGTTAATCGAGCTAGTAATTAAGATTAGATGCGAAGCAAAGGGGACAGGAAGAGGTAGGGGTTAAAATGTTGAACCTACTTCTCAGCGGCCATCATAGCTGATGTGTGTCCGGTTGCAGCATTAGGTCCGAGGAGCATAAAAAAGTTGGGAAAGCCACTAAGAACCGAGCAGTTGTAGGCAGCTGGGCCGTCGTACTTAGTCCAGTGCTGTGACACACTCTCGCCGTTTCGCCCGACCACATCCATGAATGGAATGAATTTGTTAGTCCTGAAGCCTGTCGCGAGAACAATCACGTCCGCCTGAATGAAGCCTTTGTCAGTCTCCAGACCTTCTGCGGTAATTCTATCAATCTTCGCGTCGGTTAGTAGGACTTTGTCACTATGTAGGCTTTCGAGGTAGCCAGGGTCGAAGATTCGTCTCTTTCCAGTTCATGAAGTTAGCATAATTATGCGACGCTTCGTGAACCCAAGTCTAGAAGGCATATCAAACAAGGGAGGCTGTACCTTGCATCCTACATCAAAGTCCGGAATCAGGAGATCGTGGTATTTCTTTGGACCTGCCTCTCGCATATATTTCTCTACTTTGATTCGCCGTTTCTCTCGAAGTCTGGCTGCTCCCTTCGTCATCGGAAACAAGCGAAAGTCATTTTCAGCAAGCAAGAAGATGTGAAATCGGTGCAGCTTCATGGCCAAAGGAACGTAGCGGAAGATCCACTGCAGAAGCCGAGGATAGGAGAAGTTTGGAACCGGAAAGATCCAGTGCTTCGTTCGAACGATCTGTGTGAGGGATTTGATCTTTCCCTCGTTGACCAAAGCTGGGACGATCTGGGCAGCAGTGCCTAAAGGACAATTAGTCTGCCTCTTCGGTGGCGATGAGAAATGAACAGAAATTGCATACAGCCATTGCCAATAACAACGACATTCTTCCCTTCGAGATCCACGCTATGATCCCACCGCGCCGAATGGAATATACTCCCGCCGAAGTCTGCGGCACCGGGGATATCACATGGTCGCGGCTCGACAAGCTGTCCAGTTGCTGCAAAGAGGATCTGGCACTCGTGCGTATATTCGCGTCCCGTTTCCAGTTCACGTAGGTATAGAGTCCAGCGATTTGCGTCTTCCCGCCACACACTACGGACTACTTCCGTGCCAAAGGTCATCGCTCGACGAAGATTGTATGTGTCAACCACGTTGTCAACATACTCTTTGATCTCCGTGTTCGAAGGCATAAGCCTAGTCCAGTTTGGGTTCAGAGCAAAGGAAAAGCTATACAATGCGCTAGGCACATCGCAGCCGCATCCTGCATTTGGTATTTCAGTAAGTCGAAGTAATGAAAAACCATAACCAGAATGCATGAACGGACCTGGATATGTGTTGATGTACCACGTTCCACCACTCGTGGGATGCCGTTCGAAGAAGCGGATGTCTTCAAGGTTGTACCATCTCTTTAGCGTTGCTCCTAGGGCTACGGCTGACAAGCCGGCCCCAACACAGGCTATCTGGCTATAGGATGGAATGTCGGGAGTCTTCGCTGTCATGTTAGAAAGCGTTATGTTTTATTCTATGCATATATTTCTCGGTTGTGGTCGTCTTGACGTCGCGTAGGATTAAGTATGAATCCTACGGGAACAAGCGCGCTGGATGGGATCCAGTTCATACCGGAACTGACCCGCACGCATAGATTCACCCGAGGTAGAGTAAGGCATGTGCAAGACAGAGTGCAGGGGAATCCTGAGAAATGGGAAAAAAAATTGAGGAGTGCGGCGTGTGGGGTCTGCTAGTCATCACCTTAGTCGTGTGTCAGTGGCCTCCACCAGTATAGTCATGGTTCGGGACAGACCCGGATCGTGGGGGCTTGGGGTAGATGATCATTTCCAGTAGTAGTCCGTGATGGATGTGCATGCCGGAGATGCTCCGCTTGTGTTGACTGGGGGGTATAATGCTGCAACAGATGGGTCTAGCCATTACTCAACTTACTGGATTCATTACTCGAGGACTATTGATGGATGTTCTGCTCCAATCTATTTCAGAAGTCCACCCCAGTACAACAGAAATTAGAGTACCCAAAAGCAAATGATCGGCAAGTGTATCTTGCCTTCTGCAGAATACGTTGTTCAACCCCTTGAGGGATGAATCGATCTAGATGTCTACATAATCACTTAACGGAAGCTAACGGAAGCTAACGGAAGCCCTTCAGTGTCAAGGCAAAGTTTCAGGAAAGTCAAGCCTCGTCAAGAATCCCAAATCATCCAGACTTTGTCCCATACTTCCCACATATTCCTCCCAATTAAAGAATGGAGCTTGAGTTAAGTCGTGATCCGGGTGATCAAACGGGGTGTGAGGTTGAGCCATGTTATCTGAATGTAGAGAAGCAGTACCAGTAGTCTGACTGGCTGTTTGTAGCACATCTGCGGGAACTGCTTGCCGATACAAAGCTTTGAGGAACTGAAGCGTGTTGTTCGCTGAGCGTCTAACTGTGGCCATCGACTCCAGAACACCCGTAGCTTCTCTCCAGGCAACCCTGGCTTTATCCATAGTAGACGGGTCTAGCATTGATGGGGAGGAGAAGGACATGAGGAGAACTATGGCGGCTGTTGACACATCTAAGCTCGGGATATCAGTACAGATGGGAACGTAGATGGCAATTGGAAAGAGAGAGCGGCATACAGAACCCATTGTACCACCATGCATCGGTAGCGTTTGTGTGGTATGTCTCATGGACTAGGTGCGTCAGGTCAATGGCTGCCATTACGCAGGCAGTGGCAGATTTATTAGCCGTATACAAGTACAGAGCGCTCCTGGTTGCCGAACTGTGGGCTGTCCATTCTTCTCTAACGCCATTTCCACCTACAGAATCGCGCTTGCGTACTCTTTCCGAGTAGAGCTGAGTAAACATCGGACGGTGGAGGAGCAGGTGAAGATGCAAGTATCTATGGATGTAGGTGAGTAATAGCTACATATATAATGATATGACTTACAAGAAGCGCACCTCGCATGGAGAACGTTTTTTTGGTGGGCAATTGGCTGGTTCAGTCTTCCATCTGAATTGAGTTCCGGCGTGTCCGGATCCCACTTAAGGCATGAAGGTAAATTAGCCTCGAACAACGTCAATTCTTTTTCAACTTCAAGGATTGTGTCCAAGCCTCCCAGGCTCTTCGTCGACGCCTGTGGTCTATCCTGGCGTGTCCGACCACACCAAGCGTAATATACATCGGATAGGATCCTGTCTAGGATGTTGTAGAGCTTGATAGCCTCGATATAATATGACAGCAGTGACGGCTCTCCCGGCGGACTTTGTCGAGACATCTCCAAATTTTCTGGTGGGGGGAGAGGAGTTAGATGGGTGGTCATGGTAGGTCGGCCATGCGTCATGCTAAGAGTGCTGTAGTATGGATCAGCACGATATAATATAGGACCGCTCATAGTAGCCGGGCTTACACATCCATCATCACACAGCCGTGCCACGTTCTGCGTCGAATATCGGATTCCAAGGGCGATAAGCTAGCGAGAATATCCGACTCATGGAGTCCCAATCCTAGAGCAACCCGGCAAGCAACACCAACCGAATGCCAGCATCTGCTTGGATAGGGGGAGCTCTGCAGAAATAGCGCTGTTATCAATAGAGTCTGAACTACCCCAAGGGTATTAATATCAAGAAAGTCAAGTCCGATGAAGCGTTTGGACCTGAGAAAAAAGCAATGCGCAACAGATTCGACGTCTTCGATGTCTGCAAATTGACAGCCTAGAGCAAAAATGGAATTCAAGGCAGCATGAAAGACTATTGATCTAGGGCCGGACTCCGCGCCGGAACCCAGTCCAATTCTCAAGTCTGTGAGAGGTATCTTAGCCTCATCTTCAGCACGCCAGAGATTTCGATAGGCTGCTTCAAACGCGGGGCGGTGAAAGAACGGATATAGGGTATATACATGATCGAAAAAGCATCGGACGAGGTGGTCTGCCAGCGTGCGCGGTGGGAGGGCAAAGTCGTCGAACCGATACTCGGTGAAAGTATCCTGCAATGTGCTAGATGCAAGTTCGGCACTAGAAGCATTTGCTGGCCGTGAAGGCATTGACTGCCAGGCAAACCTCATGAGCGAAGCAGTGGACGAACTACCATAAAATTGGAATCGGGAGGACTGCCTCCTACTTTCAGCATCCGGAGCTGTGATCTGCCCCATGCCCGTGACGTGGGCTTCCCCATCGTCGAACAACGGCGACTCATAGGATCCTATATTTGGTGAGCACTCTGTAGCCTGTTCCACTACCCGTCTGGACCGGCTGTTTTCGCTTTCACTGCGTGCAGCTAGCACCGGTTGCTCCGGAGGTATGCCATCCCCGAAACCTGTAGAGGTAGGGACCCGCTCATCGGGTTCCCCAAATGAGGTGGGGACAGCGATGGGAATGCTGCCCGTCTCCACTGGTATTTCATCGCCTCTGTTGAGCTCGCTATGAGGTTCCCGTTGAGCCCAAAAGCCCAGTGAACTGTCGATGGATACCCCGGCCGTCAAACAGGCATTTTCGAGTTCTCTAATTCGGAGATGAAGGGTCTGGAAGTATCTGCGTTGCGTTAGTCCCTTCATGCATTATGCTCGTGTTCCCGGTTGTTGGATGAACTCCTCATCAAACTTACTCGTCTCGGCTGGCCGTCCGGGCGTTATCCGGGTTGTAGAGACACTGGTCTATCCGATAACATCGCCTCTTGCATGGCCCACAGATGGGCTTGTTCCCGTCGCAGCGAACCTTCTTTTCTCTACACGAGTCGCAGGCCAGGGCAACCTTGCGGCGTGCACCATTCCGTCGCTTTGGGTCACCCGATGCTTTCGGGGGCATTTTGTGAACACGGGGGACACCCGGTGCTGTGGAGCAGGTACTGGGAAGGCCTTATGAACAAAACCACAGTCCGGCGCTCCGGGTTTTTAGGAAGACACAATCATTGAGTTACAAGTTCCAACTCGGGGACGTGAAGAGTAGTGACTTGTTCATCCAGCGGGGAGTGTTCCGGTGCCATATGTGGGTGGGGGCTTTGCGGAGGCCAATAGCAGTTACGGTAGCTAAGATCGTCACTTCCTAGGCACGGCAGCATTCCGCTGGTTTTTCGGGTCCGTTCCAGACATGCGCTTGCTAGAATGGATAGCTTCTGAATCTCTCGTATGTTCTAGCAGAGTTGGGTGGGCTATGATAGGGTTATATGAAACCCCCGAACGCGTAGAAAATACCTTTTCTCTGCTACTCTTGCACATGTTCAAACTCAAATATTTACCGTGGTAGATAAAAAATCTAAGTAAAAATGACACGCAATCTGGCAAAAGTACGCTTCTTTTTTACCCTCGTGTTTTGTGTCCTGCCACGGGCCGCTATAAGAATTCCGGCCGCTGTTGTTCGTGCGTGCCTGAAAAGGTTACCATTAGGCTCTTCCATGTGGAATGGGTTTGTTGGTGCCCTCATGACCAACACACCCCCAGATCAGTTGCAGGCAGTCCTACCATCTACGCTAGAGACATATGAAGCATGGGTTCTGTCTCATGGGGTAAGCCGTGCGGTGGATGTCTTAGCAGCGGACAATGCCACTCGTCTGCTTTGGATAGGGCCTAGTGTATCAAAGAAGGTACTTCTTTTCTTCCACGGTATGCTATTCTATTCCCAACGCCGCCCTCTCTACACATGATTTCTGACTGTTGACTAGGTGGCGGATATGTGATGCCACTTTCTGAAGCGCACTTGGACTGGATGTCATATGTACGAACCGAAGCAGTCAACGCCGGGGTGGATATGAGTGTGTGCATTCTGGAATATGGTCCGTGATGAATATCAAAAGTGATGTAACGTACGTGCTGACAATCTAGACTTGATACCGACCAGCAAATATCCCAGACAGATGAAACAGGCAATTTACGCATTACAGCGTCTACTTATTTCCGGGTACAGACCTTCTGATGTAGGTTGTCTTGCAGGTCGGTCTTCTTGGACCAAAGAGCTAATCTGAGCTCGCACAGATCGTCTTCGGAGGAGACTCTGCTGGAGGCCACCTGTCGCTTTCCCTCATGGCGCATCTCCACTATCACTATCAAGCCGATGAGGAAGCAAAGAATGTCGTTCACCTACAGAGCCCTGTGAAAGGATGCTTCCTCGTGTCGCCACTAGCATCGTTCGACTTCAGTACACCTTCCTACCAAAGGTGGCTCAGTGCCGATGTTCTTACTCGCAAAAATGTAGACGAATGGGGACGTTATCTTGTCGATGATTCTCCGTGGCACGAGGAGATATCTGCTGGATATGGCTGGGGAATGGCGCTGGATGTTCCGGATAGCTGGTGGGACAATTTCACGGCTGTGGATCATATTCTTGTGACCGGCGGCTGCGAAGAGGTGTTCAGCGATCATATTCGACTGTTGGGCAAGGTCTTGAAGACAAAATGTAAGGGAAACGTGGCCTTGCACATGAGTAATGAAACCCACGACGGACCGCTTATGGACTTCGGAGCTAGAAGGCCGCCTAGTGCAACTACAAAAGCTATCAAAGACTTTGTTATAGCTTGCTTAAAGGATTGAAGTGGCCATCATACGTTTTCATGCATTTTCATCTATCTCTTTGCGCTTTAGGTTTCTATACTCGACGTTTGGCGTCTTCCAGAACCTGCTGTGATTCTCCTTCACGCATAATCAATTTAACATGGTCCTCGCTTCTTGGGGTTACCTTTACCGGAAACGGTTCATCGGTTTTGTGGTGATTGAGTCGTTTTGGGTTATAGGGTCCCGCCTGCCAAATGTCAGAATTACTATTGCTTCCTCGTCAATACTTTGTAGATAACTTACTGCTGCATAATCATAACAGAATACTAGGCGTGCCACATTGATGAACAGTCCTCTGAAAGCCAGCCTGTAACCAACGCAGATCCGGCGGCCTCCGCCAAACTGCCACAGACCATGTGCAGCGTCAGTTTCATGTCCATCCAGCCACCGCTCAGGCTTGACTTCCTCTGGGTCCTCGCATTCGTTGCATACTGGAACCTCGTTGATTACGAAGCCAACCCCTGCCGGAAAGTGGTAGCCCTCAAACTCCATATCCGAGGTAAGCACATGATCAGGGGTCAGAACGAAGATGGGTCTCCACCGCAGGAGTTCCTTGATCAAGGCGCAAATGTAGGGCATATTTTCAAGGTCGTCGATCCCTGGCAGACGGAGACTCCCATCATTACAACACAATCGGTCGACCTCTTCCCTGGCCTTTTGGAAAACCTTCGGATAGCAAAGAGCTGCCATAACGAAAATGTTCAATACTTCTCGGGTCGTATCGGATCCAGCCTCCAGAAGCTGCAGCGCAACATACATGGCTTCCTGATCGTCCCCAGTAAACTTGGTGTCCGGGTGCAAAAGAACGTCGCGAACCCATGATGGAGGCGCTGTTCCTTGCTCTACCTTCTCTCTAACTGGAATCCACCATGATTTGTAGACCTCCTCGTTCCAATCGCCGAGCTTCTCCCAGTGCTTCCTCCATGGCTGCAAAACGCGAGGGAGACGATCAAGTTCGGGAAACCAGTCTATCAGGCTGGATCCGATGCTGCCCACGAAATAGGTAACAACATTCTGTAGGTCCTCAAGCTCTTTACCTGATTTGACCAGCCGCTCCCCGAGCGCAATGCGGTGAACTACGGAGTTTGCATACCGATAGTGATGACGGTACCATCTCTCCGGTTGGAACAGATATTCAGCAAGCAGTTGGGTACTTTCCAGTTCCTGCCATGATGCATACTGCTTTAGCGCTGTGCCACTGAGCAGCGAGTGCATTACTCGTCGCTTCTCGGTCCATCCTGAGGGAGGAAGCAGAAGAGAGCGCCCGTTTCGGCTAACAATGCCACTGGCAATGGGCATAGGGCTTCGGCCGTTTGTGAGCGTACCGCGTTTTGCGATAATTTCCGAGACCACGCGCTTGCTATTGAGCAAAATCCACGTTTTTGATCCGAGGTGCAGAGTAGTCATCTCGCCATATTGCGCGAGTTCATTGTTCTATGTTCAATCAGTTTTCTGTAAATAATAATCATCAGTGATTCTACATACTATTATGTGATCTTCGTCATTGCGAATCTTGCGAACGTCTAACAGGCTTCCGAATATCGGTATTCCTTTAGGGCCAGGAGGGAGCTTCCATCTCTTGCCATGGGGAGGCCTGCGTTTCCCAACCGGAGTAAAAATCTCTCGAACGACGAGGAATATTGTTGCTAGAAAAGCTGCTATAGTCACGAGGGTTGCCGAGAGTGGATTTTCTTTGGCAAGCCCGGAGATCTGGGCATGGATTGAATTGCTCATGGTGCCGTGCGTAGGTTGATCAACACAATGGAGGGAAATCGAAGTCCTGGATTTATGAAAGACTCATCCACTTCGAATATCAATGACGATTTTTGCTGCTTCGTCTATCTTTATCCTGGCGACAATTTTGCTTCTGCTACGGAAGATCCGGCACTGTTATGATGAAATTCGGAAAGAACCCGTTGTGATGACGCGCCTCCGGGTCCGTCCCGGTTCCCACATGGGTCCTTTATTAAAGTAGCGGGGGTGCAAATTGTTACGTGGAACGATTGCCCCCGATGTCTTCTACTTTGACTCTGATCATATTCACTCTGACCATATTTTTGTTTCAGCCTAGCCTCTGTGGCATCATGGGTGAGCACGTTCGCGACTGGCTCCGGGACAAAGCCGTTGGATGGAGCCATATGCCGCCAGTGAACAAGATTGATACCCATCATCATTTCGTTCCACCTTTCTATGCACAGGGTAATGGTCACTTGTTCGGAGTTCGTGGTACCTCTCAGCTAATCTGATTATAGCTGTGGAAGAACAAGGGGGCGACCCCAGTGGCTGGCCCACTCCCAGCTGGAACGCTATAGCATCCAAACTGCTGATGAAGCGAGTCGGTGTGAAGACTGCGGTGCTTTCAGTGACAGCTCCAGGTGCATGCATTGCCCCAGAGCGTCAATCACGCGCTCAACTGGCCCGGAGAATGAATGAATATGCGGCAGACCTGCGGGACAAAGACCCCGACCACTTCGCTTTTTTCGTATCTCTGCCCGATATACTTGATACCGAGGACGCGCTCGCAGAAATTGCTTATGGACTAGACACCCTGCATGCTGACGGTGTCACTCTGTTCACGCGCTATGGTCCTTCCAACACCTATCTCGGTCACAAGGACGTTGAACCCATCTGGGCTGAACTCAACAGACGAGGCTGTGTCGTCTTCATCCATCCCACCCACCCTGTCGATATTCATCCAGTCAACCCGAAGCTACCCCAACCGGCTATCGACTATCCTCACGAGACGACTCGCACAGCAATGGACATGATTACCAGTGGCACCAGACTAAAGTACCCAAACTGTAAAGTCATCCTGTCGCACGCAGGCGGGGCCTTGCCGTATCTCATCTCCCGGGTCACGACACCAATGAAGAAGGCACCAGATGTTGCAGTCTCATACCGCATAGGAACAACTCATGACAAGGCGATGGAAGCTTTTCGCAGCTTTTACTTTGACCTGGCGTTGAGTTCGTCGCCGCAGGTTCTGGACATGCTGCTGAAGATGGTTCCACACGACCACATCTTGTATGGAAGCGATTTCCCATATGCGCCAATCACTGCATACCCAGCGTTTTTGGAGGAGCTGGAGAACTATCAGATGAGTCAGGAGTTGCGGGACATGATCAATTTCAAGAATGCCTGGAAACTCTTCCCGCGTTTGGCGAATAGGACTGGCCCGGCTATGTAGTTGATGGCTTAATTAATGGTTAGATATTTTGCTCTTGCTGTATTGGCTATTGTCGTCGTACAAACGCAGAGGGTCTTAGCCATGGCCATTGTGCATCATGCGAATAGTCTCAGCAACTGGTGCATCCAGTTGTTACATTCTGAACATTTCGGTTTCCTTCCCATAGGCGAAGAACATAGACAGGTATAAACCCCTTGCGTTCATGAGGGGTCTGATAGTTGTAGTCCGTGTTATTGAGGTCAACCATAGATGAAGGTGTCACCGGTAAATTTGGACTACAACAAAACCACTTAGTAACATGACGACGCACTAGACCAACAACGATATATCGCGTCTAGTCAGCCACGCGACGGAGAGACATATGTCCCAACAAATCATTATGCGCATAAAATTCATGAAGACGAATCTGAACCCACCTCCCAAAGATCCTCGGAAGGGATGCTTCGGATTTGGTGCAAAATGTGGTGACGCATCTTCTGGATTGGCTCGTTCTAGTCGTGTTAGTGGTAAGATATCAAAGAAGTTTGACGATTCATTAAAGCTATTACTCAAGGTGGCAAAACGATAAGTATGCTTCGTCGCTAGGCCGACTACTGTTTGAGCTGAGATTGATTCCGCACATATAACATGAATTATCAGATCATAGTGTGTATAAGAAACCTTCATTATTGGTGTTGCACTTCGGACACTAAGGGAAATTTAAGCTTATAGAGACTTGGGAAGACTAAGGATGCCTCGGGAGCATTAATAACTATAGAAACAGAGTGACTATCTATAGTAGCTTGTCCGGATGCCTTGCATAAGTAAACATGCTTACCGCCCTGCTGCAGCTGATGCTGGGTTGGGGGCAAACAAAGACGGAATGCTGCAGCAGTCGCGCCGCCCCCTATCTTCGAAGTCAAGAGAGAGACAACCCATCTCGTTCTGCAATCATGAACCTCAACCCCCCAATTATGTTGAAACTGCGTTGTATTCTCAGGAATTTATTGCCATGCTTGAGTCATGCGTCACAAGTTCGTATCCCTCGTTTCCCTTTTTCTCTCATGAGAACAGTGACTTCACAAGGGCTTCCTCCAAGACAGTTCCCTACTTCGGGCTATGTAACCTTAGATCCCCTAGATAAGATTGAGGAAGAGACCTTACCATTATATAAACCGGAGAATTACTATCCCGTTTTCATTGGCGAAGTTTTCGGTTCCAGATACCAAGTGGTTTCAAAGCTGGGATATGGCACTTCCTCTACTGTTTGGCTTTGCCGGGATCTTCGGTAACGTATTCCTGAAATGAGTGCATAATCATGTTTTTAATTGGTTATAGGGAGGGGAATCACTATACCTTCAAAATGTGTGCAAAGGGTGAAAGCTCTGATCGAGAAATTGCTATCTCGAAACATTTGGAGCAATCCGTTAGTGAAGGCAGAAAAAGGATGCTCCGCATGGTCCTTGACTCCTTTGATGTTGTTGGACCAGAAGGGAGATTGTTTGTCTGCCTGATATACCAGCCTCTTGGAATGAGTTTCACTGAGTTTCAAGATTTGCTTCCCGATCAAAGGTTCTCGAAGGACCTCATCCAAAGAAGCACCCAGCTTATATTAGCAGCATTGTCTTCTATGCATGAGAGCGGTGTTACCCATACCGGTAAGGCCACAATAATAAGCGGCTGGATGATAACTGTAGACAACGTGAGCTGATGATTGCAGATATTTCACCGAACAATATACTTCAAGGAGTGAGAGATAGCTCTATATTATCCAAGATGGAGGAAGATGAATTAAAAGGGCCGATTGCCCGAAAGGTTCTGAGCGATCGGAATATTCACTACTCCCGCCCCATGCCTGTCTGTTCAGGTCTTCCTGTGGTCTCCGATCTAGGTGAAGCTAGATTCGGAAAAGAAAAGTACTATGGTGATATTATGCCGGGGATTTATCGCGCGCCAGAAGTCATCTTAGGAATGGAATGGGATTACAAGGTTGATATTTGGTCAATTGGCAACATGGTATGTGCTATATATGACACTAAGAAAACCGGAGTAAGCAGCCCTAGCTGATGTATAGAAAAGGTTTGGGATCTTGCAGAGGGCCATCATCTTTTCTTTGCCAAAGAAAACGGAACTCTCAGCGATGAGCAACATCTGGCTGAGATGGTATCTCTAATGGGCCCTCCACCGCCAGAATTCCTAATGAGGAGTAACCAATGCGAAAGATTCTGGGACGCAGAAGGTATGTCTTCTTATTGATGAACTATCATGGATGTGCTTGATAACAGTAGACTTAGGCAATTGGAAAGGCTCTCTATGTATACCAGAGCAGACTTTTGGGCTCAGAGAGCTGCATTTTTCTGGGGAGGACAAGGTTCTTTTTCTAAACTTCTTGCGCAGGATATTTCGATGGCTTCCGGAAGAACGTCCGACAGCAGAAGAGCTTGTGTATGATGATTTTCTAATGCAGCCGATCATGATAAAGGAGATCAATAAGTTGGGGGCTCGATTTGGGTAGGAGTTGGAGATAGTGTGTGTCTACTCATTGAAAATGAATATCTTATTTCAACGCTCTGACCACTACAATCAATCTGACATGATACTACTAACTCCGATTTATTGTGGGCTGACGGAGAAAATATTGCGGCATCTTGTTCAATGATCTATGCTCAGTTTGCAAACTATAAAAATATTCAGTTTATGTAGGATATCATACTCTGCATGGTAATAGGAAAACCCACGGTTGCTGATGGAAAGCGGGTATCCCACAGCCAGATAAAGATGAGCACCGCGTTGGTCAGGAAAAAAGAGATTCCGTCGCGCCCGCTTGCTACCGATACTGGCTAGCACATTACTAACCATCACTTTTCGTTACATACATTTTTTAGAAGATCATCATCATGCCCCAACCACAAACATACCGTAAAAGGGTTTCTGTCGCTTGTGAAGTTTGCCGAAGGAAACGAATCAAGGTAAGCGGACTCGTTGGCACTTCATTATCGTCGAATGGTACCAAAGTTATGAGCCTTAACGTTCCGATATCGAGTTAGTGTGATGGTGCCAAACCATCTTGTGCTGGATGCTTGAGCTACGCGGAAAACTGCGAGTATAAATATGATAAGGAGAAACGCAAGTAAGCATGTTAATCGGTCGCATTGCTTGTTAGTCGGTCGTTGACACGAATGAGGCCACCAACCAAGCAGCACATACAAGCTCTGAATGCTCGTATAGAATTCTTGGAGTCGCAATTAGCAAAGTATCAGCCCCAAGAAAGAGATATAATTAGCAAAACAACGCACCAGTTGCAGAGTCAGGATGGCAAAGTGGGAAATAAAGATATTTCTGGGGCTCAGTCTCAATCCCTAGACCCTATTGATGATATCACCGATGTCCTTGGGGGCCTAAGCATTGGAGAAGGCGACCAGCTGCGGTACTTTGGCTCGCGCAGCAATCTCAGCTTTATGGAACGACAGGGAGCAAATCCCTTTACCTTTCGCCAAAACCCAAACCAGCCATTACAGCCAATTGATGTAGATCCCGAAATCCGAGAAGAACTGCTCGATATTTACTGGAATTGGCAGAATCCTTGGCAGTATTTGGTTTATCAAAAAGAGTTTCTCAGGAGTCTGGAAGCTCGATTGGATGATGGATACTGTACCCCGTTGCTTCTTCACTCCATGCTAGCCTTGGCAGCGAGATACTCTGATAATCCTAAAGTCCGCACTGTCCCTAATGATTCGAGTACTGCAGGTGACGGTTTCTCCCAAAAGGCACAGGCTCTCCTGTTCGAAGAAATCAAGGCCCCACGAGTTTCAACAGTTGTGGCCGCCGCACATCTATCTCTGTTTGAAATGGCCAAGGACAATGAACCATCTGGTTGGATTTACCTCGGTATGTGTACCTTTCCAATAAAATCTTGATAGCCTCTTTAAGTGATAGCTCACTACCCGCACAGGGATCGCCATTCGAATGGCGTATAACCTAGGGCTACATATAAACCCACATTTGTGGGTTTCTTCGGGATCCATGACTCCTGACGAAGCTGAGCTGCGGTCAATCGCATGGTGGGGTTGTTACATGATTGAAAAGTAAGCGTGCAGTTCACTTATCTGTGATTAAAAACCTTTTCGCTGCATACTAACCGACAAGATTATTTACTGTCGGCATTGGTCGACCAAGTATCATTATTGAGCGCGATATTCAGGTCGATTTTCCATCCAATTTAGCTGATGTTGAATATGGCCAATGGAATGGACACTCGACATCCTCAATTAGCCATTCATATCTATCGTACTCTATCACTACTTTCATCAATACATGTCAACTTTTGCGATTAGCAGCTCGTCCACTAGATGACATGTAAGTTACGACCATCTTTTGGTTACTTCATTTAAGTTGCTTATTTTCGCCTATAGTTATACCCCTGAATATTTTGTTTCCTTGACCGAAAAGAAGAGCATAATGACGAAGACTGATATAGCATTAACTGCTTTCTATAACAACTTGCCAAGTGTTCTTCGGCTGCCACCAACTTCTTCAAGACCCTTGCCGCCGCATATGTATTGTTTCCAGTACGTGCCATGACCTATGCTAGAATCTGTCAAAACCTGTTGACTCTCTTTCAGCATGCACTTTTACACCTTGGTTATTCTGCTCCATCGACCTTTCATCGTTATACCCAGCGATAACGGCCCTTCCCGTCGCTCCATTAATGAATCCGCCTCTGCAAGCTTGGAAACATGCATAAAAGCCGCAGAAAAAGTAACAGTTCTGTTTAGGGCTTACGCTAAGTTCTTTACCTTGGTGATGACCACACCACTCATCGCTTATACTCACATACCGTATCTTGTACTAACTCTCTTGACTAACAGAGAAAAGTATCGATATCCGTCGTTGATCCTGCCCGTACCGCTGCATTCATCCATCTTTTCAACATGACCTCCAAAGACCGTCAAATGAGGGATAAATCTAGACAGCTTTTCCTGGAGACGCTTCATTACTTGGAGCAAATGAGCATCGCCTGGGGATGGGCAAGGCGTTCAGTACGGGCACTTGGCCTGGTTTCACGGAAATGGAGGGTCCATGATATTCCGAAGAACAGGGACCAGTCGCCTGTTGAATCCTCTCTTGTGTATCAAGACGAACGCCAAAATCATGATTCGGAGATTGCAGGTGGCTTTGATGCATGGCTGCAGGACCCACTAGACTTACCCTTAGCATTTCAGGCTGCAGAAGACAATAGCTCTTTACTTGGGGGGAGCTTGCAGCTGGATCAGGAGTTGTTCAATACCCACGATTCTCTATCCGCAGGTGATGATGCATTCTTGTCGGGTCCTTTTCCCGATACCAACTGGGAGCATGGATTCGATCTATGACATTGCAAGGAGGCCTCTTTGGTTTATTTTTGAAAATTATGAATCAGGAGAAGAGAGCATTGGGTGGCATGCGTCTCGAAACTTGTTTGAAAATGATGTGTTGTTTTGAAGATCGCATTACTTTATCCACAGTTTTCTTGCTGCGTGTATTGTACATGTGATTGTCTTTCTGATATATAATGCCGTCTGCGCAAAGCGTATTCCTGTGCTCATAACTGGATGAAAGGAGGCAATATCAGACTTTGATTGGTTAAGGTTTGCCACCCCAGCGGAAGCTTCAAATAAATCTTGATTGCCTTTATATTTCAATTTCTTCCTGGATTCCCTTCATCGGTCTCGCAGCTCCACACTAATTAAAGTAATCCCTATTTGTTATAATCTTCTTTCCCTCCAAATCATAACTCTACCCATACCCTTATAAATCCTGTCTCACTATCACCCCTGTATCCAACAAAGACCGAACAAACGCAGTCACCGCGCGAACAGCAATCCTTGCAATTCTATCCCCATCTCCCACGTCAGGATCAAAAGAACAGACAGTAAGAGACCTGGGTGTGCTCCTCGTAGGCACCAAATCCATACAACCCAACAAGTCCCACTCAAACAACCCCCCCGGGGAAGGGTAATCATTAACCTTCCCATAAGTCTCATCCAACACATCCAAATCTAAATGCACCAAAGCCGGATCATACGACTTGAACTCCAACTCCCTGCGCAACTCACCCACAAAGTCGACCTTACGGTCGCTATCGCCCCATATAGCACTCATCCCTGCATCAATCACCCGCTGGCGCTGAACATCACTCTGATCCCGTAGTCCACAGTACAGAAAGTTGCCATCATACGTGAAAGGTTTAAATCCAGGAACCGTCCTCATAAGAGTCTTCCAGCTCTCGCCACGGAGCATGGAAAGCCCCATCGCGTCGAGATAGCCGTTCTCGTTGACATCAGGTGAATCGAGATCGTCGTGAGCATCGAAGTAGATGAATTTTAGATTGTTGGTGTTCAATCCGCAGGCTACCGCTGCGCTTGCCATGCAGTTGCCTGAGAGGATAATGGGGAAGGTGTTGTTTTCAACGGCTTGAGTGACGGCCGTAGACGTGCGTCGGAGGAGCTCGAAGCTACGGCCGATCTCGCCTTCAAACTCGTCGACGCGGTCGAGTTCAATGAAATTGACTTTCAGGTTTAGATCTTCAAGGGCCTGGATGATGCCGTGTTGGCGGATGCGGTGGGGTCCGTTGCCGACTCGGTGGTCGCGGATGCCGACGTGGTAGGGTGAGAAGATGATGGTGATGGCGCTGGCGGGCATGATGGAGATGGCAATTGAGGTTTGGACTGAAGACTTCTCCACAGAGAGGAAAAGGAAGTTTGAGCCCTTGATTATGATCGATTGGGGAGCTGTAGCCCTATATACTAGTGCAAGTTGCTGCTACATGCAAGTGGGGGGTTATTTCGTATCGAAGATGTAATGGTTTGATACTAATTTTCAGCTGCATTATAGATACAAGGAGATACGAACAGTTATCCTACTTTCAATGAATTATCGTATACTATGAGGGGATTTCTCGTCCCCAAATCTTGAAACCTGAAGCATCTCCTAAACTTAACTATAATTTGATATTTTCCGAAGTCATTGAGGGATGTCTAGTATTCTTATGGTATGGTAAGATCTGCGTATATTAAAATTACGTGTTCCCGGGTACCTGCCCACACGGATGGGCATTATCCAGGCGAATCACATCGTTCCCTGCCTGACTTTTTTCTTCAGCGACCGAATGCAGGGATGGCTATAATAGCATAGTACTATAACATCAATGCACTGATGAAATAGGAAATATAGTTTATCACGGCATATCAGCATGTACGTGAACTATAACACAAAGTGTAAAATGTCATAAAATCTATATCGAGCGCTTTCTAATCTTGGTTACTATCCTAAATTGTTAGCTCTATATAAATCAGCCTTAAATAGGTTGTCACGGGTATATTTAACATTGACAAACATCACAAACGTAGTACAATTGTGGCAATATCATCGCAATCATGTCCTTGGATTCGCGTCATACAAAACAGATTCGCTATCTTTTTCCCGCTGCTCACTTTACTGCTGCTGCACTGACCCTGAAAATGCGGGCAACCATCTTCAGTTTCCCTCCACTAGAATACTCTCAAGCCGAGCTATCTGATATGTCATCGACTCTAGGATCCTGAGCTTCTTGGTTTCCGAGATCTTCGAATTTAATAACATCCACCTGAGCAGTTGACTTTTCCGCTTCCACTGACTGGTCAGGTTTAGTGCTTGCTTTCTCGAGTTTCTGGGTTTGGGCCTTCTTTTTCTAAATCAAGCACGATATGAATCATGATCGTCCTCCCAGGCTGAATGGCCGAGTCCCAACCATCGCGCCTGATTGGATCGCCGTCGATACTGGTGAATTTATAATCCCCTCTGGCAATGGGACGTGCAAGAATCTCATCGGACCGGAAGATTTTCTTGATTAGTTTCTCCATGACCTATAGGTACTATGTCAGAATATGTCCTTTGTCTTTGAAAATACTACCCCTGGAACTGTGCGACTAACCTCGAAGGAACGGCACTGGTTATATGGCAGTAAATATTCTCTGCCCACTGGATCGATGAGAGTCAGTAGCGGTGTTGAGGTTTTCTCGGCCACCCTTGCCATTTCCTCTGCATTCAGGAGAACTCTTCTGACTCTGGTTATTTCTTCCTGAAGTCTCCGTCGCTCCTGCTTCACGGCCTCCTCTCCATCGACGAGTTTCACCGTTGCTTTGGCTCTTTCTGAATTTCGACCTTGCTGGATCAACTTATCTAATGACAATCTGATGTCTTCGGCTGCGTCCTTCTTGCTTTGAATATCTTGTAAGTTTAGTCGTGGCATTCGGCGGGGCCCTTCCTGTCGCAAACCCGACGATTCCGGAGTCGCATCATAGGTTTCATTTCCTGCTGATCTCGTGGCTCGGTCAGAAGACCGGTATCGTGCGGATCTGGGAACCTGCGCTGATGCTGCATGATCTATATAAGCCGAATACGTGTCTGTGGAATCCAGCTTGGACTGAAACTTGCTTGGCAGATGGTGATCTACCATATGGGACAGCTTCAACCTCAATAATTCAGCTTCTATACCTTTCCCTATGTCGCTCAAAAGAAGACACTGTACTTTCCTTTCCATATATTTCAAGAAAGGGTTATCAAAGAAAACAATATCCGAATTTTCGGGCACCGCTGTATCATAATCAAAGCGAAAAGGAAAGGAGCCGTCGAATGCAGAAAAGCGACCGTAAAGTTCTTCGCGCAGGCTCGCACACTCGGGAGAACTATAATTTTCCAGGAAGAAAAACTCTCCGATCAAGCATTTGAGATACTCACAAGTATCATTCATCGTCTCCTGATTTAATCGGGACAGGCCCCGTACAGTCTGGAGACATTGATCCCAGTCCAGCGAGTATTGAAAGATTAATTCAAGCAGGGACCGCTCTAGTCGATAGCCTCCCAGATCTCGAGCACTTTCAATGAGAGTTTCGAGGCTTTTGCAGGAGAAGTATCTGTCGGTAACCTTTGGTTGTTCTGTCTTTTCCGCAATAATCAAGTTTCTTTGTCGGAAAATGTGTAGCCTGTCGAAAACATTCCAAGACCACCTGTCGGGAAGCAAGCTTGTCATATTGATATTGACCGGCTGTGGGAGCTGACGGGATGCTGACAAGCTCCTCATGCTCTCTAATAACAGCCAACATAAGTATGGCTGTGTATTGATCAAGTGAGGGTATTGTACAATTATTCTCGATGCAAGAGAATGTGATTTCTTGAAACACTGGCTATGAGCTATCCGAACAGTCTCGATAGAGCATTGCTCGCTCAAGAAACCCACAAGCAGAGTTGATTGTGCAAGTTCAGCCAACAGAAGCTGCTCGTCATCGGAAATTGACCAGTGCAAGAGGGATTGGAAAGGTCCAGACTCGAGAAAGTCAGAGACTTCGGCCGCGTGTACAATTATGCGCACGCAGACCTCCACCAATTGAATCTAGGAGGCAAAAAATGAGTAATACTGAATCACGGACATGAAGTAGCCTTTAAAACGCACCTTAAGCCCAGTAGATAAGCTGCTTCCCATTGAATCATGATCTCTTGTCGCAAGATGGTTCAGCGCTTCTTTTGTCATGTTCAATGCCGGTATCAGTGCGCCTTTAGTGAAGATTTCTGCATAAGCCCTAATTGTCTTCAGTAAAATGTTTTCCTCTTTCAAGTAGCTAACATGAGGATCCATCAAGCGACTTGAAATAAATATATGCAAATCCCCGAGGCTCCCTTGCTCCAAGAGGAGGTCTGCATACTCGGCCACAACTGGGAAGAAATCGACATGGGGGGCGAGGCGTTTCTCAAAGTAACGAATTCCCTTCTTGAAGTGGCCCATCCGATTTAATTGCGCTAGATATCCAAGCTCATGCTCCAGATCCAAAGCAACATCCAGGTGGAGGTGCGTGGTATTGTCTTTGTCGTTGTCATCAGATGAAATTATACAGTCGTCCTGCCTGCTAACCCCAGTATATGACGGTGCTGCTGCCCAGTACCTGCTTCTTTCTTGTCTCCGTAGTCTACTAGTTTTATTTCTGGGCTTCGGTTCATCTGGAAGTGGGAGGTCTGCCCATTCCTCGTGCGGGTCTTCATATTCGTGAATTCCAGCAGGGGACGGTGGCGCCACCTCAACTGCTGATTCCGATAAATCTTCCTCATCTGAAGCACGATGGCTTGGACCTATGTTAATATTGACCGTCATGAGAGCTATTGATGTGGAATCATGAGGTGAGCGAGTCATCTCTCCTTCGGCTGAAATTTATGGGGTACAGGCTACAGCCTTGCCAAGACCCTCAAATGTACATGTGGCACGAATGAGAGGGCTTCATTTTAGCGCTACAGCACAGCCACAGCCAGATGAAAAGAGAAGGAGACTAATGCTGAGTGAAGAAGAATATATCCCAGGCCGGGCGCTCCTCGCTCCTACCCGCCAGCTAGTCTCATATCGTCTTCGCCCAAATATTGGAATGAACCATCAGGTGCAATGCCTGCCAAACGATCCATCTCTCAAACCAAGCCGTTCAGATATGTCGATGTGTGCCAAGTACGCTCTAGTGCGAGCCTTGGAGAGGTCAAAGTTGGCAAAGTTCGCGTCGATGGCTGCTTCCTGATGTCCAAGACGCAGTGGGGTAAGTTCCGTGGGCAGGATGCAGGCCTAATGTATTTGGATCTCACATTTCATCAACCCGCCGACTGCAAGCTTGCACAAGCTACCATTACCATGAACTTCCGTGAGACAGAACGTCGAAGGAGGCAGACTAACACTTCAAGTCTCGAAATCACTGAGTTCTTTGGACCACAAATCCTCACTGGAGAGAAACGCGAACGCCAAGTGTCGAAGACCTTCGAGGCCACTCCCAAAGTAGGAGCCGCTAATGCTAGTGTTGAAGGCATTGGCATTTCACGAAAGTCCCAAGCAAATTATGCGTCACGGTGGAAATTTACGGGTTCGCGATTTACCAATGACTCCGGTGACGACTCAGATATTTCAAGCAGTCGATACCGTCAGCTTGTTTGGCACCTAGAAGAGAACGAGTTGGAGCGACAGGCCGTCCATCACTCAATTGTGCACACTGCACTTGCCTTTCATCATGATCCCTCTCCATTCTATCTCGACCTGCAGATCGAGGTGAAGATGCAGCGATGGCACCAACGAATTCTACAACGCCTTCTTTGTCCGCCGCGGGATCAGAAAGCTCTCACTCGAGCTAAGATCAAGCCCGTCATTCCCGAAACAGACGATCCGCTCTTTACAAAATTAGTTAAGAATATAAATCAAACAATGGTAGAAGAGAACCTACAACCAGTGGCAGGTAAGTCTCTCTGGAGAGTGGCAACTCATGGAGAAATATTCATTGAATGAGCTACAGAGGTATCGGACCCCAAGCCTGCCGCCTTCGCCGATGACACACAAGAGAATGATCCCGAGTCAGGATTGACCAACATCTCGCTTCCGAATGAAGCTTTGCTGGTGCTCGCACGGCAGCTGACTGGAAATCAAACCCCGAGTACATTGGCGTTGCCTGGGAGCTGCTCGGCTGCATCCACACAGACCGTAAACAGCTCCGACTCTACCCTTGTCGAATCCGAGACGGTAAGCCAGCCTGATTACCAGGAGGAAATAAAATCTGCCAGCTGTAAGACCGGTGATCCGGTAACCGTCTATCTTCCCAAAGAGAGCATTAAGACTGCTACAATCCAGGAGCATGCATCCCTCGTGGCGCTCTACGGAGTGCGACATACCTCGCAATTTCTGGCGGCTTTGATAGCATGGCTAATCCTGGGCTTGAGTGCACTGCACGCGGGGCTTACACGAGCGGTTAGGGATCATGAAAAGTACTGATATCGCATCATGATGCGGTTAGACTACGTCGACTTTAAGTCTTGGGCTTCGAAGCTAGGTTGAAGTTCCTGATTTGTTATGCCCCATCTGCATACATTTCTTTCGAATTAGTTATAGAGCGCTTGTATCATAACTCATGATCAGTCATTCACTACCTGGTGTCTAGGCCACTCAGAAATTACTTTATACTATCCAGGCCGGACTGGGCAGCTGAAAAGCTTTCTTGGAGCTCTGGGGATTGTATGCCTCATTTTACCTCTTGAACAGATGGTGTCGATATGATATTCAGAGTGTCCCTCTGGGCTCTTGTAATGCGCTAGTGTTGACTTGAGTCAAGATCATCCCTCTAAACGGACATAACTGAGTATCTCGCAATCCACCTAGGCTCTCGGTTTGTCATGAACTTATAGTAGTAAGAAGTCAACTACATGTCACTCAACGGGTCAGGACATTGACTTACTCCATGCTTTTTTTTTCATAGCGCTGCCTGCTCAACACATAGCTCTGGAAGCTGATCTATTGGTCGGTAGACGTCATTCCAAGTCTACGTATTCGAAATGAGCCCGATGCCAGAAGTACACGGAATACTAGTACTTCTACAATCGGGCCGCTGGGAACCACATACTAGGTTAAACTCAAGCTCGGCCCGGTTACGCAACAACCGGGCCGAGCTTGTCATCGAATGCCATCGCGAGGTGGAAGCCCGTACGCAAATATGGCAAAGTTCGGGAGTGCAAGGAGCCAGAGAACAAAGAAACTCGGCCTGGTGGCGGGGATACTTAGGTTTGCGCTTAGCCATTTGGAGACGTTCCGAGCAAGCCCGGGACATATGCTTCCAGGAATAGAGGGAATAGACTGTAGGGCTGGTCGGTTAAAATGGATAGAAAGGTTGCCTAGCTCGTATTGTTATTTGATGGCTTTTCTCGAACTCCATCTCCGTTCTGTGTGCATAAGACATATCTTTGCCAACCGGGCCAGAATATTCCGTCGAGTGGGCCGTACTATTAATGTGTCATCGTGAGAAGATAAATTAGATCGGAACTAGCACACAATATGCTCTCTGTATACCGGTAGATGACTCAATCGCCCATCCATTCTTTCCGATAAATCCTTTGAAGGCTTGCCGCCTCCTTATGTAGACATTAGCGATTGCGGATGGTAACCCCTAAAAGCTACAAGCGGCCCTAAACCGGCCCGATTTAGACCTCAACCCGATCGACCTTCTCGATAGGTCCACCAGAAATATACCTAGCGACGGTCCCTCCAATTGACTCGCAGCCTTAACTAGTGGCTGATAATTATCTCCCCCGCATTCGATCATCGCTCCTCCCCGCATCGGCCTTACCATCCGTAAACCTGGGGAAAATGTGGAGAACGCGTGGTGCTATACATCATTGCGTCGATGTTGGCCCAATCTGGACTCGTATTCCTGATGTTCGGTAACTACTAAGCGAATGCCGCATGCTATCAGCTGAGTTGGGTGTGAGAAATGTGGCTTGCCACGCATCGCGGGGGCAAACGCGGCGATTTGTGTTGCTTTGTTTGGGGGTTCTTTTTCACTGATATATGGTTGCAGCCTGCTTCGGTTTTCTTTTGGCTCAATTCTATCTGATATATTTCGGACTCGATTTGTTATAGCTGAAGTGAGCCACCATGTCGTCTAAGGACATTGAGAAACCTCCCAGTGTCGAGCGGATCGAAGATATCGATAAGTCTGGGATTAATGATGTGGACTATGATGAGGAGTTTACGCCTGCAGAGCAGCGCAAGATCATTCATCGGGTTGATCGTCGGCTGGTGACTATGGCTGGGTTGGCGTATTGCATTTCGCTTATGGATAGGACGAATCTTAGTATGGCTGCGGTTGCTGGGTAAGTTTCCTGGATTTGGTTGATGAATAGATTATGCTGTGTTGGATTGGCTGTTGACTTGAGGCTAGTATGACGAAGGACTTGCAACTTGGAGTTGGAACTCGCTATGTGAGTTCTACTCTGTCATTTGAGGATGCATATTCTGACGAGGTCTAGTCTGTCGTGATTCTCGTTTTCTTCATACCTTACGTTGTCTTCCAGCCTCCGATGACGGTCATCATCCGGAAAGTAGGCCCGACTTTGTTTCTGGGAACGCTGGTCATATCATGGGGAGCAATACTTGTTGTACGTTGACTCTGTTCTCTAAACCCCTGCGAAACTAGAAGCCTGACAGTTGCTGCTCTAGGGGATGGGATTCGTCAAGAATTGGAAGCAAATGGTCGCAATCCGTGTGCTCCTTGGTGCGTTGGAAGCAGGTGAGTGTGACTTGGTGTTACAATTCTTTGCCTTGTATAATTGGCTCAAATATCTTCTTGCAGGTTACTTCCCGGGCTGTGTGTACCTTCTTTCAAGTTGGTACGTCCGATGTAAGTTACGCAGACCAACATTCATGTAATTTGGCTGACAACACAGATGACATCCAAAAGCGATACTCGGTCTTTTACCTTATCGGTTGTGTAGCCTCAGCACTAGCCGGTGTACTTGCCTTTGGTCTGATGCAGATGGGAGGCATTCAGGGCATATCAGGGTGGAGATGGATATTCATAATGGAGGGCGTGGTATGTTTTTAATCCGAACAAGGAGACATTGTGTTAATTTTCCTAGATTACGGGCGTTATCGGACTGTTGACCTTTGTCTTCATGGTCGACTTTCCCGAAAAGGCACACAAGTCCTGGAAGTTCCTGAATGAGAGGGAGAGTGCATTCATCGTCCGACGCATCAACCGAGACCGTGCCGATGGAAATGGGGAGCCATTCACCTTCAAGCGATTCTTCAGCCCTGCGCTTGACCTGAAGATATGGGGTTTCGCATTGATTTGCCTGTCAGTTCTCTTCACGCCATTATTCATATTAAGATCTGACAACAAGCAGATGCAGCACAACGGGGGCATACGCCATCGCGTACTTTCTCCCCATCATCCTCCAAGACGGAATGGGCTTCAGCACCGGCGCCGCACAGTGTCTAGTTGCACCTCCCTACGGCTTCGCGGGCATCGTGATGTATACAACAGCCTGGGTAAGCGATCGGTATCGCATACGGGGACCAATTGTGGCGTTTAACGCCGTAGTCGGCATCATCGGCCTTCCGTTGATGGGATTTGCCAAAGGCAATGCAGCGCGATACGTGGGAGTGTTCCTGGTAGTCGCGGGGGCAAATTCCAATATTCCCGCTGTCATGGCCTATCAAGCCAACAATATCCGGGGCCAGTGGACGCGCGCGTTCTGCAGCGCGACGCTGATTGGAGTTGGAGCCATTGGTGGCATCCTCAGTAGTCTGGTTTTTCAGTCGAAAGATGCGCCCGAATATAGACCGGGGATATGGACAACTATTGCGTGAGTATTCTTGATTTTAACTGTGTGTTGGTTGCACTAAGCTAAGTGTGATACAGGTGCAACCTTGTTACGATGATCACAGTGGCTGCTCTGAGTGTGTGGTTCCGATATGCGAATAAGCAAGCCGATCGGGGAGAGCGTGTTATCGAGGGGTCCGCCGATTTCCGGTATACTATCTAGGACGGGAAAGTAGGGTTTTTATATTTGATTTTGTATTGTGTGGATTTGGGCTGGTATCTCTGTCGGATGGGATATGAAATTACTACCTAGTATTCCGTTAATGTTTGTGCCGTCAAATGCTGGAGATAGCCAATGATGTGGAGCGCAATGGAATTGCCCGTCGGGAAAGCAGCCGGGGTGTTCGTGTTCTAGATCGGGAGCTGCACGCTACTATCTATATTCTTGCATAACTACTGCATTGTGTAAGCAAGGATGTGTAATGCCCATAATTATCAGATGAGTAAGACTGCAGAGTACCAGTAAAGTGCTGAGGCTAGTTGCACACAGTAATGTATGTCAAAGACTGAGAGATTAAAAGTTCAAGTTGCAGCAGCGCACAGCTCGCAAGGGGGACTCTTACCGACGGGCCCAGCTCCACGGGGAAAGTCATGATTGCATCACCGGGGAACGCTATCGGAGGAGCTTCCATTGCGGAGGGAGGCTGTTCTTTTCCCTCATTCAACATTTCGTATACGTCAATTGGTGAGAAAATTAGCAGTGGGGCATGTGCTCAGTGAGATATATTTAGTCCGCCATAGATTATCTTTAAGAACTGGGTATAACGAAAGAAACTGTGCAAGAACTGATCAAACAGATAAATGCAGGCAAGCATTTCCCGCGGGAAAGTGAATCTTATCGCGGGCTTATCGCAAATGGCGGGGCTCCATCGCGAGGGACCGGAGCTGTATCTAGTCTTGTGATTGGCCCGGGACCAGCGTTATCGGCCGGACAGACAGTTTCCCGACACGAGTATCCGTGGCGCCCGCGGTCGAGGAGGATTAATTATTCTTGCTATCTGCTCCCCTCCAGTCTATTCTTTTTCTTTGTATCACTCATCGTCGCAATTAATTTCATCTTCTCTCCTCTCTCCTCCTCATCTCCCTTACCTCCTTCTACTCAACTGTGTTGCGCAATCTCATGTGCTGAAGTCTCGCGCAACCGGGTCTATACCTCCCCTTCCCTAGACTCCCCTCCTCCCCACTCACCTACCTACCGTCCGCCATTCTTGAAATCGTTGGACCAGTTCAATTGTAGGTATGGCTGCATCTTTGTGCGCTCTGCGCGGCACTCGCCAGCTGGCGCTGCGCTCTCGTTTGCGCGCTGCTCCCTCACCAATTGCGGTGCGGAGAGCTTCTCCCTTGATTCGTTCCCTTCACACCACCACACAGCAGTCGCCCTCTGCACGACGGCCCGTCTACACCAGCTCCGTCGCGGATCATGGCGTGCCTCATCCCCCGGATCTTTTCCAACCCCTCGATACCTTCCCCAGACGTCATATTGGCCCCAATCCCGATGCTGCCAAGGAGATGCTTGCCACCCTGGATCCTCCGGTGGCGTCGCTGGATGAGTTCGTCAAGCAAGTGCTGCCGGCGGACATCCTATCCAAGAAGGACCTAAAGGTGTCTGCTCCGCACTCCACCGCCAATCTTCCCCACAGCAGCGTGCACGGTGGTCTGGGAGAGACGGATATGCTGAAGCTCTTGGATACCTACCGCAAGCAAATCGATGTTTCGGGCAAGACATACCTCGGAACGGGCTACTACCCGACCATTGTGCCCCCGGTCGTCCTCCGTAACGTCCTGGAGAACCCGGCATGGTACACCAGCTACACTCCCTACCAGCCGGAGATCAGTCAGGGCCGTCTCGAGTCCCTTTTGAACTTCCAGACGCTGACTGCCGATCTCACTGGTCTGCCCTTCGCCAATGCCTCGGTTTTGGATGAAGGTACTGCGGCCGCTGAGGCCATGACCATGTCCTTGGCCACCCTGCCCATGTCGAAGCAGAAGAAGGCCGGCAAGGCTTACGTGGTGTCTCACCTCTGCCACCCTCAGACAATTGCGGTGATGCGCTCCCGGGCAGAGGGCTTCGGCATCAATCTGGTGGTTGGCGATATTCTGGCGGATGACTTTAAGCTGGTCAAGGAGCAGGGTGACAAACTGATTGGTGTTTTGGCTCAGTACCCCGACACCGAAGGTGGTATCTACGACTTCCAGTCTCTGAGTGACACGATCCACGGCAACGGTGGTACCTTCAGTGTTGCTACTGACCTTCTGGCTTTGACTCTGCTCAAGGCACCTGGCGAGTTCGGTGCCGACATTGCGTTTGGAAGCGCCCAGAGACTGGGTGTCCCCATGGGATACGGTGGTCCTCATGCTGCCTTCTTTGCCTGCGCGGACAAGTACAAGCGTAAGGTCCCCGGTCGTGTGGTGGGTGTCTCCAAGGACCGTCTGGGCAACCGTGCCCTGAGATTGGCCCTGCAGACTCGTGAACAGCACATCCGCCGTGAGAAGGCCACTAGCAACATTTGCACAGCTCAAGCCCTCCTTGCCAACATGACCGCCATGTATGCTGTCTATCACGGACCTGCTGGCTTGAAGGCTATCGCCCAGCGCATCATGTCGATGACCACTACTCTGCAGGCGAAGCTCGCCGGCTTGGGTTACAACGTCCCGATCAAGTCGAACAGCGCTGATGGTGGCGCTCTCTTTGACACGGTTGTTGTCGAGCTGTCCGGTGCCCAAGAAACCGATACCATCATTGCGGCTGCTCGTGAGCAGTCCATGTTCCTCCGCCGGCTGAGCGACACCAAGGTCGGAATCTCTCTGGACGAGACTGTCGGCCGTGAGGAGGTGAAGTCTATCCTCAAGGTGTTTGCCGCCCACACCTCCAAGGCCGAGGTTGGCTTGGAAGAGGATCTGGCTGTTGCTCCTGTTCCCGCCAGCCTGGAGCGTACCTCTGCCTACCTGACCCACCCCGTGTTCAACACCCACCACTCCGAAACGGAAATGCTGCGTTATATCCGTCACCTCGAGTCCAAGGATTTGTCCCTGGCCCACTCCATGATCCCTCTTGGATCCTGCACCATGAAGCTCAACGCAACCACGGAGATGATTCCGGTCTCGTGGCCTGAATTCTCTCAGATGCACCCGTTCCTGCCGGCTGATGTAGCCAAGGGATACACCCAGATGATCGATGACCTCGAGCAGCAGCTCGCAGACATCACCGGCATGGCCGAAGTCACCGTGCAGCCCAACTCCGGTGCGCAGGGTGAGTTCGCTGGTCTGCGTGTTATCAAGAAGTACCAGGAGGCCCACGAAGGCGACAAGCGCAACATCTGCCTGATCCCCGTCTCGGCTCACGGTACCAACCCTGCCAGTGCTGCCATGGCTGGTATGCGCGTGGTGACTATCAAGTGCGACACCAAGACCGGTAACCTGGACCTGGAAGACTTGAAGGCCAAGTGTGAGAAGCACAAGGATGAGCTGGCAGCCGTGATGATCACCTACCCAAGCACCTTTGGTGTGTATGAGCCCGGCATCAAGCAGGCCTGTGAGATCGTCCACCAGCATGGCGGCCAGGTTTACATGGACGGTGCCAACATGAACGCCCAGATCGGTCTGTGCTCTCCTGGCGAGATTGGTGCCGATGTGTGCCACTTGAACCTGCACAAGACCTTCTGTATCCCCCACGGTGGCGGTGGTCCTGGTGTCGGTCCCATTGGTGTGGCCGAGCACCTGCGGCCCTACCTTCCCTCTCACCCGGGCAGCGAGTACCTTCAGTCCAAGCGGTCCGAGTCGTCCTCGCCCCCGATCAGCGCTGCTCCCTGGGGTAGCGCTAGCATCCTGCCCATCACCTTCAACTACATCAACATGATGGGATCCAAGGGTCTTACACACGCAACAAAGATCACACTGCTCAACGCTAACTACATCCTGGCCCGTCTCAAGGACCACTACCCTATCCTATACACCAACGAGAACGGCCGCTGTGCCCACGAGTTCATCCTCGATGTGCGCAAGTTCAAGGACACTTGCGGCGTTGAGGCTATTGATATCGCCAAGCGTCTGCAGGACTACGGCTTCCACGCCCCGACCATGTCGTGGCCCGTGGCCAACACGCTGATGATCGAGCCCACCGAGTCGGAGAACAAGGCGGAGCTTGACCGGTTCTGCGATGCCCTCATCTCCATCCGGGAGGAGATCGCCGCCGTCGAGAGCGGCGCCCAGCCCCAGGAGGGCAATGTGCTGAAGATGGCACCGCACACCCAGCGTGACCTGTTGTCCAGCGAGTGGAACCGGCCATACACCCGCGAGACGGCGGCTTACCCGTTGCCGTACCTGGTGGAGAAGAAGTTCTGGCCTTCGGTGACACGTGTAGATGATGGTAAGTACCTATCCCACTGTTTTCATGAAGACTTGTGCTAATAATTTGCAGCATACGGTGACCAGAACCTCTTCTGTACCTGCGGACCGGTGGAGGATAGCGAGTAGATAGTCTATGATACCCATGTGTACGATTGCGTTTGATACCATATTTTCAACATTCTGGATTGGGAATTGCATATTGATACGACTTGCATGACCAGCGATTCAACATTGTCATGATAGACAAGGATGGCGTTTTAGAAATAATAATAAAAATATGAATGTTCCATCAATCAATCATTTATTCCAGTTGCAAACAAGCCAAACATAAGATTTCCATCCCAGATAGGCAATCCGTATCTTATCGTCACACTAGCCGCTTTCAGGATCGGAGCCGGCCGAGCAGCCCCGGAACCGGACGCGACGGGCCTCACTATAAGACAGCCATCTGCTGGGCTGTTGCACTTTGTCGATTTTCTGTTCCGGAGTTTTGGACGGCTGCAGTTCTAAATCGCCATCGCATAGCGGATTGATCTCAATCCAGTACTTTGAATCGAGCCGAAGTGCGTGCAGCACCTGCATCACCCCGCGTCAACTTTCCACTACCCGCGACGCAGATTGGCACATTCCCCACACAAGCTCCTAGCTAGCAGCTGTCAGCAACGAACCTACCTACATACAACACTCTTTCCTGCATTTACTGCATTAGCACAGCAACATGTCTCCCCAATATACCCTCTTCGTGGGAACCTTCATCCAGCTCCCCCGCTTCAAGTCTGACGAGGGCCACAAGCTCGCCATCACCCGCGGCGCGCTCTGGGTGTCCACTGCTGACGGCACAATCGAGGGATTCGACTGGTCCATTGCCAATGACAGGGACCTGAAGAGATTCCTTCGTCACAAGGGGTGGACTGTCGTGGATGACAAAATTGGCCATAAGGGCAAGCACGGAGTGAAAGTGACATTAGTCGTTGCGCGCGAGGAGGAGAATGAGTTCTTCTTCCCTGGGTTCATCGGCAAGTCCCCCTACCCTACACATCCCAACTCACCAGCATACACCACTAATACAGAGGAACATCGAATAGACACACACATCCACGCCCCCCAGTACCCCAACGCCGGCCTCTTCGGCGACGCCGGCCTCCTCCACTGGCTCCTAAACTACACATTCCCCATCGAATCCTCCTTCGGCAGCACCAAATTCCCCTCCATCCCTCCTCCCAACGCCTACCGCGTCTACAACCAAGTCATCGCCCGTACCCTCGCAAACGGCACGACCTGCGCCTCCTACTTCGCTACCATCCACGTCCCCGCCACCAACCTCCTCGCCTCCCTCTGCCTCGCCCGCGGCCAACGCGCCCTCATCGGCCGCGTCTGCATGGACCGTCCCGAGCAATGCCCCGAGTACCTTCGCGACGAGTCCCCCGACATCGCCATCGACAAGACCCAAGCCAGCATCGACCACATCCACACCATCGACCCTGAGGGCGCCCTCATCAAACCCATCGTGACCCCGCGGTTCGCTCCCTCATGTACCCCGCGCTCATTAGGGAAGTTATCCAAGCTCGCGGCGAGCTACTCGCCCCCGCTGCATATCCAGACGCATCTCGCTGAGAACCTGGATGAGCTGAAACTCGTGCACGATCTCTATCCAGAAGCAAGGGATTACACCTCCGCGTACAACTACTTCAAATTGCTCACCCCGCGGACGATCCTCGCGCACTGCGTGCATCTCTCTGATGACGAGCGCATTATGATCGCCGATAATCACGCAAAGCTGTCCCACTGCCCCGCGTCCAACTCGGCCCTCGGCTCGGGGATCTGCGAAGTCCGCAAGGCCATCGACTCCGGCATCACGGTGGGACTAGGAACCGACGTAAGCGGCGGATATAGTCCTAGCATACTGGAAACGGTTCGCCAGGCGTGCCTAGTATCAAGGTTACTTCCTCATATGTCTGGAACTTCTGAAGGGCAAAATAAGGATAATGACGGAGTACCGAGAGAGGTCCTATCCATTGAAGAAGCACTCTACCTCGCCACGCGCGGCGGAGCAGCGGTGGTCGACATGGCGGACCAAATTGGCGGGTTCGATCAGGGGATGGTGTGGGATGCGCAGATGGTGAAGCTGGGGAAGTTTAATCCTGCGGGGAGGTGGGGAAAGACCGGTGGGGTGGAGACTGCGGTGGATGTGTTTGATGAGGGGCAGGAGTGGAAGGAGAAGGTGCACAAGTGGGTGTGGAATGGGGATAGTCGGAATGTGAGGATGGTGTGGGTTGGAGGGAAACTGGTGCATCGGGTTTGGGAGGAGGGAGAGGATAAGAGGGAGGGTGGGGGATGGATGAGGTGGGTGATGGGAGCGGTTGGTGTTGGTGTTGTGGGGTGGGCGGTTGTTAGGAGGTTGGGGGGTAGTAGATGATCAGTATAATGGATTCTGGATTGGCGTTAATACATGACTATATTATAGATGAAGGTGTGGGTATATTATCCTGTTCGTTAGACTAGAAGATATAATCAATTATCCACAAATATCCCAACATAGAGCCACTATCAACATGCATCAACCTATACCAGGACCTATATCCTCTCATACTAGATACCATCCTCACTGAAACAGCTCCACACAATCAAAGATCTAGTAAAACACTCATCAGCCAAACGCACCATCTCATCCCATCTCATCTCACATCAAGGGAAAAACTTACAAAATTCGGGCTCAAAAACTCATCTCCCGAACTCCCCGAGATAACACTAATAGTGATCTACACTCATCAGCACACATCACTCCCACACCTTCACTCACAACATATATCTAAGTAATAGGGTAAGGTGGCATAGCAAACATACCGTATTCTCCCCCTCGACAATCGTCCCCTCAGGAACCGAAACATCATACACCTCGCCGTAGCCTCTATACGCGCCACGAGTCACGCCACGGGAGTTCAGGTTCGTAGGTGCGGATGGCGCTGAGCCTTCGTAGTCGTTTATCTATGTTTATATCTTTAGTCATATTGATTGCAGAGAAAGGAGGAGTGAGGGAATTAGGTACCGTTGCTTGAGGACGTCCTCCTGCGAATGACAGCGTAGTTCCGATACGCAGAGTCGCTGCACCGGTTTGGTCTGATGTCGCGGTGAATTTGATGGTTACTGGGTTGTTGACGGCCTTGAAGACGGCCATGGGGAAGTCAGTTAGCGAGGAGCTGCCGACGGTGTAGGTTAGGGGACCCCAGTCGGACATTCTGGAGTCGGAGGGGTGCATGCGGAGTTGGTTTTCTGCGTTGCGGAAGCCGGTTGGTCTGTTTCATTAATTAGTATATAGAAGTGTAAGTGATGTGGGTGGTTACAGGCAGGTCACTTACTGTCCGTCCCAATCGCCAATCTTGAAGATAGTCGTTCCTGTTTTGACGGAGCCGGAAATGTTCTTGGTTGTGCTCGAGCCGGCGCTGACGGTCACTTCGCTGGTAGCGACGACGTACTCGCCCTGGTAGTAGACCATGGTGTATGTTCCTGGCTTCATGGCGGGCGAGGTGAAGCTGCCTGAGGAGGATGTGTAGGTCCAGTATTGGGCGTCGTCGTTGTACCTGTCCGGTTAGCTGGGGTGGGTTGATAGGTTGGGTGAGAGGGCGTACCAGTGAACGACCCAGTCGAAGCTGGAGTCAGCGCCTGACGCGGTGCCCGATACGGTTCCCCTGTCTGCTTCGGCGACGTAGCCTTCGATGTCGAGGTCTGCGAAGAAGGACGTGTCGATGTCGGTGCTGGGGGTACCGCTGCGGCTGAAGTACATCGAGTACGGTCCGTGGAGACCCATGCGGTAGGACTCGGTTTGAACGTGGCCCGAGTTCTGTTTTGTCAGTAGCTGTGGGTGTGGGCTTAGAGTAGGATACAGAGTAGGATACGTACCATGTACCAGTAGAGGGAGTTGTAGTCGCCTCCGTTGTTGGAGTTGATGTCCCTGAAGCTGTGAGTATTGTTCTTGCGATAGATGCTTTGTACCTACCTGTGGAATGGGCCACCGGAAGAGGTTTCGTATTGGTTGAGGATCATACAGACGCGGTGCTCGTCACCCGCAATGCCTTGACTCAGTCAGCAGGGACCGTGTAGATAGATCAACATCTCTTACAGTGTCTTTGATCGTCAATGAAGCGCTGACTGGAATAGAACTTGCTACGAGTTTCCCCATCGACGAGGAACTGCCGTGAAATTAGCAACGTCTGCGAATGTATCCAAAAGACATACCACGTCAGATCCTTCAATGGCCTCCCCACCGGCAGTGTTGGACACATCGCCGAACGGCTCCTCGTTGGGGAGTTCGTCCGGGTTGAGTCGAGCAATGAATCGCAATTCACCGATAGATGGCTCTGGCGGTTGTTAGATATAATTTCGATGGACTAGCGACAAACTCACCCTCCGTAATGTAGGTGGCCATATGAATAATTGGATCACCATCATGGACAACCATATACTGGGTCAATGTGTCCGTTTCACAGGTCACCTTGATGTAGTCGCCTGCCGTGATCAGCTTGTCATTCTTGCTGTCCAAGATAGATCCAACTTACCACTCTTGGTAGCAGAAACAGTCGCAGTTCCGAGACCGGAGCCGATATGGCTACCCTTGCCGGAGTACTGCAGCTCTGTGCCATAATGCACGATGGAAGTAATATCGCAACTTCCGCGGTCCACAGTAAACACCAGCGAGTTGGGGGAATTGGCGTTTATGACATAAGAATCATCGTTGGTCGTTATGCCAAAATCTGCATTGACGACCCCAGCTGCAAGCGAGAGAAGCGACAGAAGCGACGTTCTGGACAACATCTTGGCGTTTGACAGTGTCATACCAAAGTATATTCCTCGTTAGTTGCGAGCTGACACCTTAAATAATTGATTCCAGCAGGAGTACTGCCGAACCCTGAGTACCGATGGAGCCAGAGCCGTCAAACTAGCGAAGCCTCATGCACAACCCCTGGTCTAAAGTCTTGGACAACGAATAGCTTCCACCAATGGCTGACTTGGCTCTTTCTGCAGCTGAAAAAACATCAGACTTCGATGACGAATTTTCTATTTTGAATGCCATGCATATTCCGGAGTGACCAATATAACATCCTTCCTTATGATCTTGGTTTCTTTCGGCATACTACGCAAAGAGAGAAGCTTCATGTCAAGACTCCAATTGACTTTGAAGGCACAGTGAGTGCTCATGATGTTGTCGATCATTTACCCAATTAATCACTTTGGAGGGCGTCGGACCCCATCTATGTCTTGGCCAGACTCTTCAGTGGTGGACGGACTCGTTTCTTGGCTGGCGGACGGAGGGAGCTCCGCGCGATATCACCTGGTGTGACTGTTTAGCATAAGCGCCAATCCACGAGTCAGAAGTGCCGTTTTTCATGTTAGGTCTCGCGTACTATGAGCTCTCTCCTCAATTTAATCTATTCCTCGCCAAATCTAGACGACGGCAATATGGAAAGCATCCGCACGTGGAAGATGTCTCTATGCCCTCTGGCTGTGTACTCGCTCCGCTAAATGCCAAGAGCTCAAGCTGATGCTGAAACGCACCATATGATGTCCGAGACAGCACCGGTGGACCGTACCTCGTCTCGAGCAATGCCGATCTTTTTAAGCGACATTTGCAGGATGTCTGGTAGTGATTATGCTATCGTGTTCTCGACGTCCTTAATACAGCAACGACTGTTTTGTGTAGATATCCATCCGGTCGTGGGTTGTGTCTGTTTCGAATATTTATAGATGTCAAGCCATGGTGTTCAAAAAAGCTGGCAAGTAGCTCGGTCCTTCCTGATAGAACAGAAGTTATTCTAGACGATGCTATAGCTAAATTTCTCGAGCTGTTGTAGACCAGAGCATCGTCACATAGCCTTGCCAACAATGAAATACAGTCTGCGTGTGAACGACTTTGGTGAGATGCATAACACGTTGATAATATAACCTTGACTTAGGCTGCACCGGCTTATAGCTGCAAGGATGGAGCTGACGCAAGGGCCATGATGCTTTTGCTAATGCTGTGAGGATCTAGGAACTCAATTAGTCAGTCTATGAAGATACTGTGATAGGATTGAATGACATTTAGTCACAGCCTCATCGTAGCAAAGGTCTTACAAGAGATCCCACGGTTCCTGAAGCTGCAGTTTTCAGTAGATCCTCAGAGATCCTCCTCGTTAGAGACGATCGGCCCACCTGTCAAAATAGATACAAGAACATGGGTCGGGAAATGCCGACGGCATGAGGATTTCCGAACGCAAGAAAGGAGGAATGCAAGGGATTGCAAAACAAGCACCGAACCGAGCCAGACTCGCCGCCCGAAACTAGGCCATCATTCCGTCCACTCTCGGCATTCTTCTTCACATTTCCCCTAGATCTCGGCAAAACTGCTGCATGGGTGTATACTTTTGACCTCCCCGTTGCTGATATGAAGCTGCAGTACGATTGATCGCATTCGATCGTACCTATCTATACTCATGATGAGAGTCCTTGCAAGACACAAGTTCGAGGGTGTAGGCATGCTGGTGGCTCATACAAGCCAAACTTTCAGTTGCAGTGTCCAGAGATATCTTTACGGCCAGATCTTCTGTCCATTTCCCGCCAGTCTCTGGGCCCTGACTAGCTCTAAAATCTTCTTCTATTATTCCCGTCGACGCTACTCGAATGCTGCCTGGAATAGCGACACCGAAGAGACTGAGAATGCCTTGCACGCAGATTAATCCAACTACGTTCAAGTGCAGAATACCTACTCATACCCCTGTATTTGTCTCAGTCAACTATTACGCTTCATTTCAGCAAGACCTCTCGGTTTCACAGCCCCTTGCTTCGGTATGCAGCCCAATCCTCGTGGCGACGGCGAGACAGAAACTGGGAGCAGTAACCCTAAATATTGAACTACTGCAGAGTCAATCAACTTCCTTTAATAAAACGAAGCACAGCCTAGGACCGCGGAGACAAAGGTGAAAGGTGGCGATAAATATGGTGCACGCATCAATTCCGAGTGGAGGCTGGGTCCGGACCCTGCAGACGCATTCCCAACCATCCTGCGCTGCACAAATGATCGACAGGGCATCTTCGGCAAGCGGAAGGAACCCCGCAAAAGCTACGTATTGCCATTGCTCAGGAACCCACTAATCAAGACACAGACATGTGGCTTTTGCTGCCCGTGCGCCCCGAAGCCACAGCCCGACGGAGGCATCAACCCTGATGCGTCTGTTGATTGTTATGGTCTTGTCCAACATAACAGGGATTTCTGGCCGCACACGATGCCCAGCAGCCCACCATATCTCGGCTGAGCATGTTGACATGTGTTGAAATCAGTTTCCGTAGGCAGACGTCTATTAGAAGTGAATTTACTGTATGACAGAGACATTCGTGACTGAAACCGTCTCATTCACTGTCTACCATTGTAGTTATGTTTTGTACATAAGACACAAAAGGAATGCCTTCAATTATGGCAAGAAGGGAATTTAGGAATTTGTGTGTTACTGCCCTCTTCCTTTGCTCTAAAACTTCTCCCCTTGTATACACTGTCCCTTAAAGGCCGCTATGCCTCCATACGCCACCACAATAGCAGCCATCGGGGCTTTCCTGCTCTCGCGGCCCGTTATGGGCTCGGGGCAGAAAAAGACCCCCTTTGGATGGGGTACTCAGTCGCTTGCTCACTTTGGTGTTGAACCAGAGCTGGGGAGGCACAATGAGCAGAACCTCAATACTCTCGTTTCACATTCAGCGATGGCCATTGCGTTGGAGACTGAATATGTCACCGTATGAAAAGCACCAGCCTGGCTCTTTGTTCCTATCACTGATCATGCTACTCAGATTCCTCTTGACCATGATAACGCATCGGCTGGCACTTATCAAAATCGATTCTGGGTCAGCGATGAATTCTATGAGCCAGGCAGTCCGATATTTGTATATGATACAGGGGAGGCGGATGGCGCATCGATAGCCTCGGCCTACCTAACTTCCACTCTTTCCTTCTTCCGAGAATTCTTGATAGAGTTCAACGCCATGGGAATCGCTTGGGAGCACAGATACTATGGAAACTCGACTCCGGCTCCCATATCCTATGAATCTCCACCAGAGACCTACCAGTACCTCACCACCAAGCAGGCGCTGGCGGATCTCCCGTACTTTGCTAGAAACTTCACCCGCGAGAAGTATCCGGACGTGGACCTGACGCCGCAGGGCACACCGTGGGTCATGGTTGGCGGCTCGTACGCTGGCATCCGTGCTGCATTAACTCGCAACGAGTACCCAGAGACCATCTTCGCAGCCTATTCCTCATCGGCTCCGGTGGAAGCACGGGTCAATATGAGTGTGTACTACGACCAGGTCTACCGCGGCATGGTTGCCGATGGATGGACCAACTGCTCGGCAGATATTCACGCTGCTCTGGAATATATCGACGATCAACTATCGGACGACGATACAGCTACCTCAATCAAACAACTCTTCTTCGGGCCTGGAGCTGAAGCCAACTCCAACGGTGATTTCACTGGAGCGCTAACCGCCATCTACAGCTACTTCCAGAGCTATGGTATG